GCATTTTTAAATCCTGGTTTAATCCTGGTTCTGTAGGCAGAAGGCTATACTGAGCAGCAGGTTGCTTCCAGACTCAAAATTTTAGACGACAGTTCACAAGAACAATGTGAAGCAGGAGACACTGGGAACAACCAGAAACCAGCCAGGTAAAGGGCGGAAGCAACATTGTAGTACCAGAGATGACCATTAACTTATCCAACGTTTTCTCATGAATCATAGGATGACATCAAGTGACCTTCAAAAGGAATGGGAAACATTAAGTGCAGGTGTGAAGTGCACTGCTAGGACAGTTCATATCAGGTCCTAGAAGCAGGACTGAAGTCCCATAAAGCAAGGAAGAAGCCCTTCAATAATGACAAACAGGGAAGAACCAGGCTGCATCTTGGAAAAAAAAAAAACAATGTATATTATTCACAGACACAAACCCATTAATTGAAACGAGTGAAAGGGCTGTGGTCTCAATTTTTTCCATCTGTTTATCTGATGCCACCTTTAAGGATAAAACATACATAAACAGACATAATAAACACACAACCGTCCTGTCTTACACACAAAAGCAATGTTTAAAAAGCATAACCAGGCAACCGGCATCTTGTCCCTCCTCATGACTGACAGGCCTACAGGCATAGCGAAAATAAGCTATTGTCAGCGTTATTAAATCAGGATGTGCTAACCCCTTTTTAAGATGAGAGAAAAGAAAAAAACTTCAGCGGTTGAATCAAAATCCAAATCTTTGCCAAGTATAAATAAAATTAAATAAATAAAAGCATTTTAGAGTGAAATTCCCCTTCGCTTTCCCAAAAAGGGTGGGTCAAAAGCTTTCTCTTCGCAATTCTTTGTTTATATCATGGACATTAGCTAGCTATCCTACTCTGACACTTGCAGAAAGGCAACTCCAATCTCTCCTATTGCGACCTGTTAAAGGGTTACCCTTAGCACAAGAAATACAAAATAAAGTCATGATGTGACAATGAGCCCAAGTCTGATATAAAATATTTTAACAACAGACAGTAGTAGGCTCTGATTGTAGAATGAGGAAATGTGCAGTATAGAAATGTAGCCATTGTAAGTTATTTCAAAGTAAAATATTTTCTGGGAGGAAGTTGCTATTATACACTTCTGTGAACTTCGTTTGATCAACTATAAGAATGTTCTGTTAATTAAATTTACGTGGTTTAATTGGTCAGCGCACAAACTTTCCAATGGTTTTTGGCAGAGCCAGTCAATCCTATAGGCGACATAGGCAGCCTTAGTTTATCAGATACAGATTGATGTGCCCTGCAGTCGAACATGCGATCATAACCCTCTTTGCTTAAATACACAACGACAGACCCTGTCCTTAAGCCCCAAGGAAATTTGTTCTGTTGCAACTTGATTTCACAATCCAGCAAACTAAAGAGCCACTAATTAAATGTACTGATAACGTCGAGCTGGCTGATCTCCTGTAAGTTAAGACTCCCGACTACACCCGGCGGGAAGAAAATCAGTCCAAAGAAACAAACGGAAACGGTGATCCAGTTCTGACGGAGAAGCAAAAACATCATTGAGTCTCCGGTCATTACCAGCGGCATCACAGACTTTAGTGCCATCAACGGTAAATATATGAGTGACAGTTCTGCTCGTTGAAAAAAACGCCAAGCATGTGTCTTTTTAAACCAGTTCAGATGTTCTAAAGTAGACATGACGGTGATGAATGTTTTTTTCCCAAAACGTTATACTATGCGTGTACTTATATTCTGCTGTGTACGCGTCCTTTAAGTCTAAAAACAGCACTAATTTATCATTAGGATGACCACCTAATCTAAAGCAAGCGAGACACTGTATGAGTTTCTTCAGGTTTTGCAAACTACTTTAGAACTGAAATGCTCCTGTGCTTGTTTAAATAGGTCAGTTCTTCTCGTGCTTTGACTGATTTGTTTGCTTGATTGATCCAGCTGTTTCACGATAACATTAGTGACACATGCACGATTATAGGAGACTGACTGATAAGCACACAGCAAGAACTCGGTGCTTAAGTGAAACCCAGGTCCTTTTCATTTAAATGGTAGTTTACAAACCCCGTGGTAGCTCATAGTGTCCCACCTGACACGGATTAGGTGGTCACCCCGCTTATAACAGGAAATCTGTGATAGAAACAAACCGGGTTGCATGATCATCACCCACCATGCAAACACGTTGCCAACCTCTCACACTGCCCCACTCCCAAACCGGTTCCTACACACTCCGCTTTCGCGCCTGTTCCCGACTCCCGAGACCCGCCGCCATGTTGAAGTGCGTCTCAAAGCAGTACGGACTAAGGGGAAGTGGCGATTATGAATCATGAAACCAGCAGCGATGCAAACTCATACATCTCCACTACAACTTTCATATCCCACAATGTTTTCGCAAAGGAAACAGAACAGCGCAAAATTAGGACAATGTATTGCTATATAAAAAAACTATTAAGTTAATAAGACTGAATGTTTAAACACACGATTGCTCCTTAACGTTACGTTTTTAAAGACTGTTCATTTTCACGAGCTGAATAACATGACAATACTTGTCAGTTTTTATTCAATCATACAGTAGGCCTATTAATCAGAAGAGGATACAGTACATCACACTGCTTAAAGTGTATATATGAGCATTCAAAACGTGTACACACTTTGCTTAATAAGACCACGTAACTATAGTCTTATCATACTTTTGTTGATTTTCGTAAATCGTATATTATTAAACGACAATACAGCTTCTTCTGGGAGCCATTTCGTCACGTCACAACATAACTAATTTCATTTCCTGTACAAAAGACTGAACAAGGCGGACAAGGGTGAGTCTGACTGACGTGAGTGACGGCGGAGGGTCCAGGGTAGGATAGCTTGGGATTGGGCCACAGTCCGCGGCAGGGTTGCCAGCTCTCTCACATCTGACGTGACGCTCACGCAAGAAATCTGATGGTACATCTATATTATTCCATTATAAACCCAGAATTGGCTACATCAAACGCGCTGGTGTAGTTTGCAAACCATACAGGCTATTCACAAGGTAATAAAACTCTTACATACATGTAAATACGTGTGCAGATTTGACCCGAACTGAAAATCCCACTCCAGTCAGCTGACCGAACTTGGCAACCCTGTCGACATGACCTCTCATGTGCAAAGCAGTTCACCGCATCAGCATACATCTGCCAATTAGCCGTCACGTGTTTTGATGAGCATCCAGAATATTGCCCATATTACAGTATTAAAATCTATTTGCGGAGAATATGCTGCAGTTTCACTTTGCTCCCAGAAGAGGGAGACGTTTTCTCATTAAAAAAATCTGCATCTACTGCTGGTCGGGTGAGTAAAATATAATGTTTTCACTGTGTTTGATGTTTTAGTTCTGCGTCTGACTGTGAGTAGATTACTATAAATTATTGGACGTACCCCCTTCTCAAACAAACCGGCGCGTAGTAACATGTGACAAATAAGCCCCACTAACCAGGAAACAAAGCCCTTGCCCTTAATCAATAAATCAAACACTTCACCTAAATATATCAAACCGCTATTGGATTATTTGCCAATATTTCTCACAAATCATTCTATTAAACACTATTGTGCCAGTGCAAAGCAAACCTAATATTTTTTTTCTATCTTAGAGATGCTGTTGTAGTACGAGCTGTAACTTAACTGTCTGACATCAAAATATAGTTTATTCAACGATTGATAAAAACTCTTTAATAAAAAATGTTGTATAATTTAGAGGTGTGTAGCATATGCGCATTTAGATATTAAAATATTAAATCATATTAAAACATTCTTCAGATTATACCCTCAAAATTTACAAAGTTTAATCATTTTCTGATGAAATAACCTGGAAAGAGAATTTCCACAGAGTGATCTCAGGGCTGGCGCAGTATATACTGTAGGAGACGGGGGGCGGTTCGTAATGCTCAGTGAGGCTCCTGGAAATGGCAACGATACGTCGCACCGAGTGCAAAGTTAACCGGGGTTATTTAGGAAGATGCAACAGCTGATTGCGGTGTTATTTGTGAGCTCCGCCCCAATAGCCGTGACAATTATAAGTTACCACTGTTTTATATACGAGAGGTACACAGATAATATATACAAAAGCATTGGGACACACCTCTTAATTAATGGTTGAATTCAGGTATTTCATTCAAAACCATTGACAGTGTATAAAGTCAAGCATGCCATAAGATGCCATCTTTGCAATACGTCAGTTCACGGAATTTCTTCCATGTTCGATATTCCACAGTGAACTGTAAGTGGTATTATTGCAAAGTGGGAGCATTTAGGAACAGCAGAAACTCAGCTACGAAGTGGCAGACCGTGTTAAGTAACACAGCAGGGTCACAGA